GTATAACGATACACAGATAATTTGAATAAAAATTCATGAGTGATAGAGTTGTGTTGTCTAAGAAAACAAATTGAGAAGTTCACAGAATTTCACTTTCCTTCTCTTCCCGATTTTTGGCTATACTTAAAGTTCAGACATTAGATTCAATGATTCTTGTGTCAAGTCACAAAAAGGGGGATACACAACAACAACAACAACAACAACCACAGCAACAACAAAATAACAACAAACAAATGAACAAAAAACATGGCAAGACCATAGAGCCAGGCTATATAATTATCACCTTTGTATAAAGGTTTGTTCCGGTTGGAATAAAAGCAATGTACTTATGCGCAATATAAATGATAAATAATGAAGAAACAAAAGAAATTAGCAAACATTTTTTAATTACAGCAGGTGTTCTTTACCCTAGCTAGCTATACGTCAAGTTTGTTTTTTTTATCTCACCCCTACCTTAAAGAACTTTTCTGTTTTGTAATAATGACCTTCACCTCGATCCTATAGGGCTCAAAAGTAATTTCAATTTTCATAAAGGCATGCAATTAAAGCATTGACCGGAAACCATTAATAATTACAGAAATAGTGAATTTTCTTTGAGCCTACAGCAATCCCAAGGGAGTTCTTCATGTAAGCTTGATACACACAAAGTGTCATTGAAATATCTCATATCTATTTACCCAAACCCGTTTTTTAATATTTAATCAACAATGACACTGGCCTTGACCCGGTTGGTGGAGTGGGGCAAAATCTATCACATGCGAGGCATTTACATTGGCTTGCTATATACTAAGATATACTTAAACTTTTTTCGAACTTTAGTTATTGATCGGAAACCGATTTTCTACTTTTTGGATATCAACTTGTTTGTTCATCAATTTAAAGAATGAACAAGAATTTTTAACAGAGTTACCAAAAACGTACCCCGCCTCGGGGAAGTTTTATATAAAGCATAAAATTGTGCTATTTCAAAAGATTGAGGTATGGATCTAAAGACTTTCAGTCAAAAATTATGATCCATGATAGATCTGCAAATGCAACAATAAATTTATTATAAAATGAATGTTAAGCTTTGACCTCTTAGTGTGACCTTGACCTTGGAGGTGGGGTCCAGGTGTTGTGCATGACATATCGTCTTATTATTGTAACTATTTGTACTAAGTTTTTTCAAAATTCCTTGAACTGTGAAGAAGTTATAGATGGGACACACAATATATCCTCTAACAGACTATATTAATCTTTGACCTCTTAGTGTGACCTTTGAGGTAGGGACCCATGTTTTAAACCTGACATATCGTCTTATTGTTGTGATTATTTGTGCAAAGTATTTTTAAAATCCCTTGATCTATGACAAAATTATGGACTGGACACAAAATATACCCTATAAAAGACTATGTAAATCTTTTACCTCTAAATGTGACCGTGATCTTGGAGGTAGGGACACTGGTGTTACACATGACATATCATCTTATTATTATTCATTTTCAAAATCCCTTGATCTATGAAGAAGTAATGGACGGGACACAAAGTATACCATATATCAGACTGTGTTAACTTTTGACCTCTAAGTGTGAGCTTGACCTTGGAGGTAAGGGTGCAGGTGTTGCGCATAACACATCTTCTTATTATTGTGACTATTTGTGCCAAGTTATTTCAAAATCCCTTGAACTATGAAAAAGTTATGGACCGAACACAAAATATACCCTATAACAGACTATATTTATCTTATTGCGCATGACACATCCTCTCATTAGTGTGAACAATTGTGGCAAGTATTTACAAAATCCCTTCAAAGACAGTTATAGACTGGACATGACATATACCCTCAAATAGACAATGTTGACCTTGAATGAGCAAGTGCAACCTTGACCTTGGAGGTAGGTGGCCGATTGTTGTGCATGACACATCTTCTCATTATTGTGAGCAATTGTGGCAAGTATTTACAAAATCCCTTAAAAGATAAGAAAGTTATGGACCGGACACGACATATACCCTCAAATAGACAATGTTAACCTTGAATGAGAAAGTGCGACCTTGACCTTGGAGGTAAGGGTCTGATTGTTGCGCATGACACATCGTCTTATTATAACAAACATTTGTGCCAAAATATTTTAAATTCCTTTATTAAAAGACAAAGTTATGGACCGGACACAAAATATACCCTGTAACAGAATATGTTTATCTTTGACCTCCAAGTGTGACCTTGACCTTGGAGGTAGGTGACCGGTCTTGCGCACGACACATCTTCTCAATATTGTGAGCAATTGTGGCAAGTATTTACAAAATCCCTTAAAAGATAAGAAAGTTATGGACCGGACACGACATATACCCTCAAATAGACAATGTTGACCTTGAATGAGAAAGTGCGACCTTGACCTTGGAGGTAAGGGTCTGATTGTTGCGCATGACACATCGTCTTATTATAACAAACATTTGTGCCAAGTTATTTTATATTCCTTTATTAAATGACAAAGTTATGGACCTGACACAAAATATACCCTGTAACAGAATATGTTAATCTTTGACCTCCAAGTGTGACCTTGGCCTTGGAGGTAATTGACCGGTCGTTGCGCATGACACATCCTCTTAATATTGTGAGCAATTTTGGCAAGTATTTACAAAGTCCCTTAAAAGATAAGAAAGTTATGAACCGGACACGACATATACCCTCAAATAGACAATGTTGACCTTGAATGAGAAAGTACGGACGGACGGATGTTGCAACATATTGGGTTTAGGGGGTATTTTCTTTGTTATTTTCTTTGTTTTCTTAAGGGCTACTAGCCCATAAATCCTTTTATCACTGAATGAACCTATTGTTCTCTTTTGTTCTCTTTACTGTTATATAGCCCCTAAACCCAAAATGTTTGCTCGGACGGACAGACGGACGGAGCTTTTTTCTATATCCCTCTTTTTTCTTCGGAAAGGCGGGGGACAATAATTGATTCTTTAACACAAAATTATATTGGCGAAATTCAATATTCAACCCGATATAACACCTATATTTTTTTAAAATCCTTGTTAAATCCAGAAAAATATTCAACTGTGTTTGAAATGTGAAGAAATAATTATCCAGATTTAAACGTTCTAGTCACAAATTAAAAATAGAAACATTTGGTTACCAAGACATTAACAAAATTGCCAATACCCTTTGAAAATTGATACCAATGTTTTTATTGAAGATGAATTTCATATAGTTTTCTTTCTAACATATTTCAAAACAAAAAGCAAGGTAATATATCCCCATGGTACAGTCATAATTCTTAATTTCATAGACATATTTTTTACAACTGGATTAAAACTCAAAATGTAGAAAAACTAAAGAAAATTGCTTTCGTCTTTAATGATTTAAAAACTAATACAAAAGGTAAAAGGAAAGGCATGTTATACATTACAATGTGTATTGCACACACAGCTAAAATATATGCACAACTGCTTTGATTATAATCTGTATTTCTTTTATGCCTTTATACAAAAAATAAAAATGATGTGGTTGTTTGTTGAATCTGAATGTAATTATAATTTGTCAAGATGTGTCATTGATTTACTTGAAATAAACATCTCTTGCAATAAAACTTCATGTTACAAAGGAAGATACTGAATCAAACTTTGATATGTTATATGCATGCCATTCGAAAATGTCCTCGTAATCATATATAAATATTTCTGTTATCTCAAATAGCCTCGATCGCGATAAGGATACATTAAATAACATATCTAACTTAATGTCAAATACCTTCGTTTATTCCAGTGTTATACATATTCATTGTACATTGTATCTATAAAGGTTTCTTTTAATAACACTACTAATATAGTAATTTTATCTACCACTTTTAATTTATACATGAAATTTTCTAAACTAAAGTTTTGATATATGACCATTAACTAATACATAAAACATTGATAGCTATGAATGCAACTTTAAACAGCTTGCACATAAACATAGATTAACAATTGTTTCATTAGTTGATTAGAATTGAATAATATATGTACGAAAATTACATAGGGCAATAACTCAAAATTTATGCCAAAGAGCTTTACTGTTATTGGGTTCTGCATTTTCTTTAATGAGACCTGTCTACATATTAAGTTTCAGTGTCAGAACTCTAATACTTCTTGACTTATGCCCAAGGTACAAAATTAACAAAAGACAATTTACTGAAAATTGATATTAATCACTGCACTTCTCCTCAGTGTACTTTGGAAATGACCGTTAATTGTAATTCTGTCCTTGGGTAAACACATTTGCATTCGACCAGTCATTACCTGTGTACATTCTTACAACTTGAATTGTACTTTAAGAATTCAATTAAATGTGTCAGTCATCCTGTTTTAAGACATGTATACACTTAAAGAATTACATAGTTATTGCATTCGTTATCAGCTCTATATCTGTAACTTTTCGAATGTATTGATCATATGTTGATGTGATCAATTATGTCATACTTTTCTCATGCACGTTAATCTTTATAATTTTACACTATAACAACGTATTGGTGATAAACATGTGTGTATGTTTGTGCAAAAAAACAAAAACAATGCTGCTCTTCTTCTTTCGGATATTGACGAGTGTGTACAAGTATTTGCAGAGGAATTTAAAAAATAGCATGTAAAAAATAGCGATTTGACAGAATAAACATGAATCTATTGGATCCATTTCGCAAATAGTAGCGTAAATAAAAATTTTGTAAAGAATACTAATCTACAGTAATGTTTTAACATTTCGAACATATTTACAAAACATTTTTTTTAACAAAATACATATAATTATTAAAATTTTGCATTCATCACAAAAATATATAATATGCATGTGTGAAATTTGATACTCGTATATTCAAAGCCAAAAGTATTTAAGAACAGTGAATGTTTGTTTTTGACTCAGTTTAATATACATGTATTTCGAAAAATCTTTTTTGGACTTTCTATATTTGAATTTATATATTGGCATAAATAACAGAAGATAAAAAGCCATTAAATCATATTTTTGTTGAAAAAAAACAAACTTTCTTGTTAGAATAATAGATTTATTGATGTAACATAGAACATTCGTAAAGGGTTTAAAAGTTGTTTGTTTTTTAAATGTATGTTTTCTTTTTTTCCAAACAGCATTTAGTATTAATGGGAATGGCAATGTTAGAATAAAACCTTGATATCAGAAAAAGAATACTATAAATAGTTAATCTGCAAATTATCTGCCTTCAAATAATAATATTAAACGAACGATAACAAAATTAAAATCGCTAAATCACAGAAATAGCATTTGAAATAATTCGCATGTTGATTTTCTTGTAAGAGTTAATATCTTAATATTCAATTGATTAAAGCCATCGATACCAAACAAATACTAAACAACATTGGTACTTATTTAGCAACTATAGCCAAATAACTGAGGAAAATTATTTCTAGAGACTGTTCGTCATCAGACATCAGAATTCTATATTGTAATGATATCAGTTTAACCTGATAAATTTACCTTAATAATTATGTTAGTACACTTTTATTCCATCAATGCCTGAATCGGCAGCTTATATATAAGGCAGGCAATTCCCGCCATTTACCAGTTCTTAGACTAAAGTAGATTGATTCACATCTGTGTTCTTCTTATTAATTAACTTCAGACGTTCGTATAATATCAAAGTTTTTCTTTATCAGTTGGAGCTGAAAATAATGCGACTTTTTAGCAGTCGAATTCAATTACAAATAGAGTGTTTGTGTCGTCACATGTAACAATTAACCTATTTCTTTTCCCATCAAAGCACATATTGACTAGTTTTTTCAAGCCAAAATCTTTCCCAATTAGTTCTCTGAGGCAATGGCCATCCCTGTTGAACATAACGATGTTGTTAGATTGATATCCACAAAGGAATACCGTTCCATCATCAGCTATACATGCACCTCGAGTATCCTTCAATCTACTGTCTCTCAGCTCTCTAATGACCGTACCATCCTTGTTAAGACAAACAGCTCCATCAGATCTATCTGTCACGACCACTATGTCAGAAGTGGCAGCCATATGCTGAACATTGGATTTAAATATAGACTTCCCGTTTTGATCTTTGTCGATAGATTTAACAAGTTTAGATGAAGTACTGTACACGTTAACACCATTTAAGACTGATGACCATAGATCACCACAACACATTGTTAATCCAAACTGTCCACCGTTTATTATATCTATAGTTTTTCCTTTGGACAGAGGTGAGCCAATGGAAAAAAATTGTATTTTCATGTTGTTTAATTTCACAGCCACTTCGCTGTTACTAACACAACATATACTTGTAGGCCTAGCATCAAAATAGACGTTTTCTACACTATTATTAGTGTTGAGTCTTTTCACTTTGGTATTGAAACAATCAGTCAGAAGGATCGTACCATCAGGAAGTATGCATATATCAGATATGTAACAATTCAAATTGTCATTACTCAGCTTCACATTGATCTTTTTCGTTGACTTTATTTTGTACTGCCTCTGTTTTACAATCTGCTCATCCACAATTCCGGTTGTCACGTCACCTATAGAATTTACTTGTGTGATGTCTGCCAGCTCTTTATTTACAGTAAAATCAATAAATTTTGTACCTTCTGCCGTGACCTCTGTTATAAAAGTATTTGCATCTTTGACAGTCTTCTTCATCAACTTCATTCTCACAAATTGCTGCTCTAAGTTCAGACTATCAATCATATGCAGTTGTTCCGTAGTTTGCTTCAAGTCTTCAGCTGTTCGACCTGACACACTAATAGAAGACACGAGGTCCTCCTTCAGTGTAGAATATTTATTATTTAAACATTTTGCTGTCTCTCTTTTCAATTTTCTAATATGTTCTACAAGTTTTGTCTCTGTATCATCTAGTTTCTCTTCACAAGCTTCATTCTGTTTGTCTATTGCAGTTAAATTCTGTTTCTGTTTTACTGTCAGGGACTTCACAGTGTCATGTGCATTCTTTGTCTCATCTAATAGGGCTTGAATCTCCGTTTGGGTTACGCATTGTTTGGACAAATCTTCAATCTTGTTTACTCCATTACAAGACCTTCAATATATAATGATGTCGAGGGTTATTTCTGATTAGAAAATAAAATTTAAATATCATCAAATATATATATTAGCTGGATGCTAAACTCGATATATTTTACTACAGAAATTGAAAGTAATCAGTTAAAACTTCAGACTACATTTGATCCGATTCACAGGTTTAAAATTGAAGGCTAAATTTCATGATATTCATAAGCCAAAAAGTAAACCCTGTATTACAAATAAGACTGATTAAAATATGTTTAGTTCAACTATTACCTATGTTCTGTTGCAATGCACATTGTACAATAAACCATATCATGTGTTTTGCAGTACATTTCAATATCTCGGTCAGTATGGTACTGGCATTTAGTCCCAGCAATATGTAAGCCTCGATTGGCATCATTTTTATCCAACAGTTTATGTTGTTGTGTAGCATTAAGTCGACCATGGTATCTTGTACATGTCTTACACAAATATTCGTGACACTCAGGACAATACTTGTCGGCCTCTTCTCTAATATTGTCTTTGCTGCAAGGTGTACACGTGAATTCATAATCTGCATCAGAACCGTCTTTTAACGATTGAAAATTGCTCCCTTCTGCCATTCTGGAATAAATTATCTTTTTATCTAAATAAATCTATTCACTGAAAGCATCAGATGAATTATACAATATTTAGTTCTTTATCGAATGAAATAAAAAACCGAAAACCTTAACAATATATCAACTGTATCCTCATAAAAAGATATATGAACAATGCGCCCATATCCGTGTTTGAGAGATGTTTAAGTTTTTCTAAATCAGACATGTAATTTACTATAAATGAGATTCTCTCCCATCCTGTTTGTAAACAATACCTACGATCCTTCTTGGGGCCCACAGATTTTGAAAGAAAATATTTTCACAAATACATATAGATAGAATCATACACTTGATAAGTACTTTACTGGTACATAAGATTTATTGTCAAGTACACTCGATAATTCCCTGTACGGGTATTTTATGAACTTTTGGTATGTAAACATATATCATAAACAACTTTGTTTTATCTCATGTTATATTTTAGTAGTGATTTTCTTGAGACTAATCTTATCACAGATAATTTCAATACATTTGACCATTTTGTACAGTAATTTTATGTAAATGATATCGAATAATAATGTATTTATAAATAAGAAGACTAAATTTGCCTTCTTTCGTTTAGTAATATAATACATCCTTATTTATGTTATCTCAAATCACCTGATCGTGATACGGTTCTCTATTTCAAGATAAATACTTTAAGTTATTTTTAACGTAAATAACGTTAAAAATCAAATCTACATGAACGAAAATTTGATATATCACACTCCGTTATTTGTATGCAAAATTATATAGAGGATATTTGTTAAGTTCAGTGTAAGATCGGAATATATTTCACCGAGCACGGATTTATATTACAGTAATATAAATCCGTGCACCGAGTGAGCACCAAAAAGTATTTTCACGAGTGGCGCAGCCACTCGTGAAATGTGAACTTTTGGTGTTCACTAGGTGAAATTTATTTCGATCTTACACTAAACTAAACAAATTTTCTTTTTATTATATGCAAACAAACTTTAAAAAAGACATTTTTACCTAATACTTAATGAATAGCGCGCTAAATAATTATACAACGTGACGTCATTTACAACGTCACGTTTTTAAGTTGGTTTCCAGTTCTGTGTACGCTGTTATTTCACTGAAACAACGTAAGGGGCTTAAATTCAATTATCAATTTGATAATTTCACTGTTTCAAACAGTGAAATTATAATTTTAATTCACTGACATATTTCTATAAACCATCGAAAAGCATGTTATAAATAAAGTTTATTACTTACTGTAGTACACTTGAAATAAATTTCTCAGTTAATGTGTACATTCCTATGGTGGCATATTTCTTCCACCAGATAACCATATGACTAACTAGTTAATTAAGATGTTAACTAGTTATGTAACTAGGTTAACTTGTTACGTAACTAGTTAACATGTTAATTAACTAGTTAGTTATGTGGTTAACTAGTTACGTAAGTAGTTAATTTTTTCAATAAATAAAAGATCATAATGGGAAATAAATGCATGTTAGTGCCTACAACTGTCATTCTTTTATTATTATACCAGCTTAATGTTAAGTGGTTAACTAGTTACGTAACTAGTTAATCACATAATTAACTAGTTAATTAAGAGGTTAACTAGTTACGTAACGTAACTAGTTACGTAGCGTAACTAGTTAATCACTAAAGCAATACATTTCTTGGTCAGTTGGTACACTTGCATTAACAGTAAGAATAACTCCCAGAGGCCTACGGGAAATTAACATCTAGGGGTAATAATGAAAGAATGTCAAGTTCCTGTGGTAAAATCATAGTAATTGACCTACTGTAGAGGCTAGAGTGTATAGAACAAATAAACCACGGTTTATGAAATAAACAGATCAGAATGTGTCTATATATTTACAATATTACACTGAAGTACCGTCTGCTTTGCTATGTGTATAAGATATAAAACATCAAACAAATCTACAAAAATAAATACATACCTTCTAGTTTCGATTTCACTAAAATTCGTGAAACGCCCTCAAGTGTTAGAAAAGTCAAACACAACTAAATTGTTTCCTTCCTTATTTTTATGTAAAACCGACTTTAAATCCGACTTTGATAAATGATGGGCAATGGAGATTCATTTTAGGAAATAAAATATCCTACAATATTAACTAGATTTCTAACCACATGTATGATAAGGTAAATTTGAAATGTTTATATATAATTAAACGACAAGTCGGCACGCGCAGCAGGGACTCAGACCAAAATTGCATTTTTTACAATTAAAAAAACCCTCAAAATATGGAAACAATAAAGAATTTTGCTTTCCTTGTTCATGACATTATTATTAAAAACTAATATAAAAAGAGAAAATAAATAGCATGTCATAGATAACAATGCTTATTGTAGACAGAGCTAAAATATATACATAACTGCTTTGATTATAATGTGTAATTTGGGGCGGAGGCCTTTATTCAAAACAATAAAATGCTGTTGTTTTTTTTGTGTGAATCTGAAAGAACATGTGTGTATATCAAATTTAATGAAAGTTATTACTTCACTACGCCCTCAGCTCAATGTCGCTCACAATAAATTCCATAAAATTTGATATATGATACATAAAACATATCTAAGCCATTATAAATGTAACTTCTTACAGTTTGCACATCAACATTCAATGCTTCATTATAAGATTATAATTGAAAAAAATAAAACACATGAACATTACAAAGGGCAATAACTCGAAAATTCTGTCAAAGAGCGTTATGGCTTTTGGTTACGGCGTTCTCTGAAATGAAACCTGTCTATATATTAAATTTCAAGGTTAGATTTCAAATACATTTTGATTTGTGTCCCAGACAAAAAATAAGTACGAAAACAAACAATAGACCATTTTTTCTAAAACTTGATATTAAACACTGCACTTCTCACCAATGTGCCTACATGTATGAAATGGCCACTAAATAGTGAGAATCTCCAATGAAGCAGTCACTAGTTCGATCGTCGAAAGGAGAAAGATTTCTCCGTGACAACTGATCTCTGACGTTACGTCTAATGGTCACTCACCGCTGATTCAGAAATCATGTTGGTGTTGCAAAGAAATTCGAAATTACTGTACTGGTAAGTTATCCTGGAAATCCGGTTAGATGAACCGACCGCCGATAGTTGACCAAAAAAAGTGTTACATTTGGCGTACAAGCCAGACAAACAAATTAAACCACCAATACATTTTGCGTAATGAACACAGGGTTTATTTCATGAAAAATAAATAAAATGGTTTATTTTATTGCAACAAAAGTGTTGTTAGTTTTCACTATAGTTCAACCATTGTCGGTATATCAAAACTGATGAATTTCAAAAAGGACCATGCGTTAAATGATTAGCTATGTCCATTTGCTAGTATGGAATTTGGACTTTCGAAGAAATTAACAATGTGTGCCGCCAAATGTAGTGCTACAGAAAATTGCACGAGCTTCTTTTATAACAAGCAGACGACAACATGCAAAGGTGCACCGGGAATGATCACCTCAGCCGTTGGATGTGAAGATGTCATAAAAACAGTGTACTACAAAAACGAAGGTAGATCTTTCATTCCTTCCGGATACTACTTCAGATAATTATTGTCCTGAAAGGCGGTACAACAAAGCGTGTTCGTAAAAAACGTGTTTTTTTTTATCCTGATCTCATATGAAAGTTTTGGAAACGCCATGTTTCTATGATTATAGAACAAAAATCAATTCATTGAACAAAAAGCTGTTGTTATTCTAAGAATGTATTACATATGTTAAATTATCTGTTGTAAATTATTATTAAATTATATTTTTCAGTACTCATAACCTGAGACTCGTTAATTTTCGGAGGTCTTCGTTACCGTAAAATATTATGATTTAACATAGATCAATTTATTGTTGGTGCCGCCGACTTCGTTTTCGAGTAACTTGCCTTTGAACTCGATTGTTGTTGCTATTTCAAGGGCAGATAACTTATACATTTTTCTGGCATATCTTATATTTACACATTTTTGTAGAAAAATGCATGGTCCGAGTTAAAATACACAGGGATATAATCACGAAGTCCAACGGAGACGCAAACGCGGCAAGGGATCTTATATGTTACCTTTAGCATACGCCTACATAGCCGATTGCACCCTATATTTTTTCTCTTTACACAGATTATGGAAGTTATGGTTCAAATTGCGACGTTTCTGAATGTATGATGACAAACAGCATGTGTCTGGAAGGCGTGTGTTCTTACCAGCCAGGCTATAAGTATAATCGGACATCAGGTTTCTGTGTGACAAGTAATGTAATTTATATTGTTGCAACGTTTTTCTATTATTTTAAAGTATCGTCTCAAACAATCAATGAGCTCAGTCCTATAACTTAAATCAGAGAGCGTATACGGTAGTTATGATGTAATATTAAGATTGTTTTGAAGATGTCCATGTTTATTTACATATCATTTATTTATTATAATTATATATAACTGTATCCATAGATCTACAAGACTGAAAAATTGTGAAAATAAGGGAAGGAATGTTTTTTTGTATTTGAGGCTGAGTGTACGAGTATTAAATAGAATGATTATAGGTTAAGTTTAGATAAAATTTGAATCTCTCATTAGAATATATATGAAAACAACGGTGTATTTCTGGTCAAGTGCATATTCATTTACGCTGAAAGGTGAAATAATAATTATTGTATCATAGTTTGGAGACCTTTCTGTTGAAAATGTGTCAGAGTTAAATCGTATACATATACATGCACAGTGCGTTAACTGGATTGCAGGTATTAGTTACCCGCACTGCAGTACGTGCCCATTGATTTGCTCTTTTTGGCTGGGGTTTACATATTGTGACGACAGAGAAAGGGAAAGCGACAGAAATATCATATTCAGATGATCGATCATTGGTTCCTTTTTGCCGGGGTTTCATATTGTGACAACAGGGAACGTGTTTTTATGTTTGACTACGATACAAAAGAGAAAGAACATCAAAACACTAGGCAATCTGATTAATACTCGGGCGCTACGCCCCCTCGTACAAAACAGATAGCCTAGTGTTTCGATGCGATGCTCTTTCCATTACTTAACTTATATTTATACCTGCATAGTTGACATAGAGGAATTGTATTTTATATAGATTATGAACAATCTTAAATTACATTGATTAAAATTACAAAGTAGTTGCAGTGACTGAACATTAGTTTACTGTCATAGTTGTTTCTTTTTCAGACTGTACACTCTATGGCGTCACTTATATTGAATATCGTGATAGGATATTTAATGAAGCCTTAATAGCCACTTATTCCGGTCTTTCTCTAGAAATGTGCAAAGCAAACTGTTCAGAAACAAGTGCATGTAGAAGCATTGGCCATGGGCCGGTGACAGGATTGTGTAAACTAAGACCAAGCACACCTTTAGAATATCCTGCAGCGTTCAAAACTTACCAAGGAGCAAACTATTACACCCGAAACTGTGGGTAGAAGGAAACGGAGTAAAATCTTTCTTTTCAGAAGAAAATAAAGACATATAACATAAAGTGTGTAACATGCATTTGAATATCGCAATAAATCGACGAGTCGGCGACTGATGCTTACTTATGTTTCATTTGACTTTAAAAAACAAGTTCAAATTCCAGACAAACAAAGAATTTAACAACCTTGGTGTCAAATTTATGGCTTATATTTTGAAAAGAGAAAAGTACATTTAAAGACACTTGAATTCAATCTTTGTTGTGAAATTTACATGTTGTTTGTTATAAAAGTGTAAATAAAAGTAAATGATTTTTATCATCAACGCTGCAAATTTCTGTATACAGAGATAATAGTATATGTGATAGACAAACACGTGTTTATATCTCCCTGTGGAAACATTCTTTCTAGTGTACGGCACCACACTAGACTATACATGAATTGCTACCATGTTTTTGATGAAATTCTAAAATTACTTAAACAACTTATATAGATGTATTTTGAATATGATGTTTTAAATTACTCATTGTATATTGGAACAGAGTCTCCTTCTGTTGGAAATTCCGTAAGATCGATAAATAATTCACACGAATAATGTATAGTCCCTGGTGGTTACCAAGCCACGGAGGCGACAGGAAATTGCTTCAAGGTTGTCCACCTTAGGCACATGGACAAAAGAAGTTGCTCGTGTTAATCATCTTACCCTGTTATTTAATTTTCACTTATCTTGGTTTAGTTTAAACATAATTTATTAGCTCGATTGTGTAGTAAGCTATAAGCTTACAGCCGAACTCTAAAATCTATTTCTGTAACAAACCATTGTAAAGGTTTCTGCTCAAGTAAACAAATTGGATTGAAACCCATACGGTCAGCAATCTTTAGAATATTAGTTCACCACTCGCCCATGTCATGCTGTCACATTTAATATATCTGGAAATATTCTTTCTTGGCACCGTCTCATTCTATCAAAACCCGATTTGCGAGGTTTAGCCAGTGTCTAAAATTCAGACTGTATACGTAAGATTCCATCGGTTTATTTAAAGAATGTTTACAGAGTGAATTTTTCAGTCCCATTTTTTCATTTTGTCTATTCATTGAAATTTTACAAAGGCATAAAAGCGACAAAGGAAATCTTTTGCAAGCGAAAGCTTAAATATCTAAGCTATTTATTCATACCGATATTTAAGCTGCTTTACGTCCCCGCAAATCGTCCCGACGGACAACGTAATCACAAAACATTAAGCATGACATTTAGTAAATAAATATCAAAAACAAAAAGTTATAACATAAATGTTTAATATATTGTAAGCAATATGGAAATAAGTGACCATACAAGCGAAGTAATCAACAAAATACACAAACCACCATATGTCATATAAAATACATAACTTTATTACATTTAATTATCCTTTAAACTGCAATGTACATACACAACACTTATGATAAGGAAATAAGGAACACATACATCTTAAACATGATTCCCCCAAAGAAACTTAATCTTTTTGATTTTGATCAATTCATTTTTTTTCTTCTCACATGTTTACTGTCGGTTGTCCAAATGCTGGATGAATTTAGGATGCTATGAAAAAAATCACGTGTTGAATAAGGCGCGAAAAGCGCTTCTGTATGTTTGGAAAGGAACAATAACAATACGATGGGGGAAAAATTTGTTTCTAATGCACTTCGTTAAAACCAAGAAAAATTCATTAACATGATGTAGTGAACTGTGAAAACAGTATTTTACAGAAATTCCCGCACAAAGAAAAAGTCATGTTTTATTGTACAAACAACTCTCTGAAAACAAAGGATATTTATTTTGTAAGTATAAAACGGATGTACAATATCTTATGTTGGAGTACAATCATCTTTAAAATGTTATATTCATATACATGTAAAACATCGCTGTTCACCATACATGCACTAAGATTTTGTAAGTGTATTTCGATGCACAGTCGCAGATAAAGGCAGTAAGAGCTGAAGTATAATAACATTCAACACCAGTGAACTTGACCTCTATGACCTTTACTCCACTAAAGTTCAAGGACATCACAAGGTATCTGACTACCTAATATGAAAGACACCATTCAATAAATAAAGGCTGCATTTTTAAAGCTTTTTTATCAGTCTTGCAACCCTGACCTTGTCCTTGACTTGAATGACAATTTCCTTATCCCAAAATGTTAAAACCACCCAAGATATTAACGTATCAAATAGGAAAGACATCATTCAAAAATGCAATTAGCAAAAGATATAGTTTTAACAGTGGTGATCTAAGTATCCTCTTACTCTGTGAAAGATATCACTCAATAAACAAAAGATGTATGAGCAAAAGTACAAAAAAGTCTGTTTTAAGCACCAGTGACCTCGACTTAAATGCCTCCGTACTATTACCCTACGAAAATGTGATGTTTACAAGTATGAACATTATTTGAGAAACTTAAATTTTTCAAAAATCTCTAAGATATTTTTTTCACATAAATATTTGCATTTAAAAAAATATTTGTCAGTCTTGTGATCAGCAGTAAATTTCAATGGAAAGGTGGCCAATAAAATCATCTTTGGGGACATTTTGCGAAACATTTGGGCCGTCAACCCTATAAAATAAATTCATTTTAATGTGTGAAGCATGACTTTCTTCTAGAAAAATTACATCTTTAGCATGACTTTCAAGATTGAGGGGCAATTTCTTAAAATGTAAGTTTATGGGAAAATTAATACAATAGTCTGACCTAAAGGGAGATAATAAAAATAAACAATGTATACATTGCGTTTCCTCTCACAAGTGTTTGTCAAACTGTCAAGTTTAACATTTTTAGAAAAATAATTAAATTTGACAAGGTAAAATTATGTTTGTAAATACTGCACTTCCTCTCGCTGGTTTCTATCATTTTGGAATGACAATGAAATTCCTTGTATACGTTTCAAGTCATTCTCTGTTGAGTGTTACGGACAAACAGACGGACAACGCGCGGCGCGGCGAGTATACGTTCTACCTTCCAGAAGCATAATTAAAACCATTCCCTTTGAAATAATAGAATAACCTTAAACACAATTTAATGGGAGAAAACGTCAGGTGAACGAAAAACAGGCTACGTTCAGTTCAACGAATCTAAAGATAAGCTACATTTTACATTTCACAAAATCTAAAAAAACACTATGTCACAAAAGATAATATTTGTATTGTTTCTCCTGTTTACATCAGACTAACATATGTATACGAGTCAGTTAAGTGCTGTTAAAGGTGACATTCTAAATTATTTCTATTTCTGAATGCTTCCTACGAAAATACATGCACAATAAAACTTCTTATAATTTGTATCGTGCTGATAACCATTTAAACACCGAGTTCAATTAAAGTAATTGCATTTGACCTGTTACATGTCACAAGTAGATTATTTCTATTTTTATCAAAGCACAAACTGATTGGATTTTTCAGTCCGCATTCTGCAACAACCAACTCTCCAAAACATGTTCCATCAATACTAAACATAATGATGTTATTGGAGCTATATCCGCAGAGAAAAACGGTACCGTTACATGTGACGCACACACCATCTGTGTTTTTCAGACGTTCATCTCTTAGTTCTGCCAACACTTTGCCATCTTTACAAAGACAAACAGCACCATCAGAGAAATCAGTCACAATTACTTTTTCAGCAGCGACAGCCATGTGCTGAATCGTACTTGTTTTGAATATAGCCATGTGATTCAAATCTTTTTCAATTGTATTGATAAGAGTTCCGTCTCTAGAGTGTACGTTGATACCTTTGCTTGTAGACAACCATAAATTACCATCACAATACACCATGCCATAATAATCTCCACTCTTAATTGAAACGTTTTTGGTTTTTGTTAAACATGAACCGACAGATATGAATTGAATACTTTTGTTGTTTAACTTTACCGCTACTTCATTCTTTCCAGTACAACATATGCCAGTTGGTACCGCACCTACCCCGCAGGAATCGTTTACGTTATAGTTCATATCAAGCATTTTGACATTGTTATTCCGATCATAAATAAAAAAACCTTTGGGGAAAAAAAAAATATCTGAATTGTCCTCGCTTTGTCACTTTTAAATTTTTGTATCTATTTTTTACTTTCGATTCCAGTCTATAACGCTTCGGATTGGATGCTTGTCTGCTATTTTCCACAGTGATTATCTCGCCGAAAGAAAAAGGTGCCGACGGTAAGTTTACAGTATCGCCGCTACTAGATAACATGATTGACTTTGGCCCGCTAAATGTACTTCTTGCATGTAACGTGTAAGCATCTTTAATACAGTTCTTCATAATCTTTATCTCAATGAATTTTTGTTGTGGGTCCAAGTTGGTGACGGAGTTAAGCTTTTCCTCTATATCCTTTAATGCTCCTATTGTGTTTAAGGAAGAGCTCATATCGTTTTCAATGTTTCCTTTTAACTGAGAGTACTTTTCATCAAGAGTCTTAGCCTTCTCCTGTTTTAGGTTAGCTATGTGTTTAATCATTTCACTTTCTGATTTGTTCAGTTTGTCTTGTATTTCTCGTTTCTGCTCCTTCAAAGTGGTAATATTATTTTGTTGTTCAAGTATATCAGCCTTCAAACATTCTGATGCACTTTTGGATTCGTCAATGAGATAGTCTATGTCTGATTGTGGTAGCTCTACATTTGTCAGGATACCTATTGCATTTACATCAGCACACGATCTACAAATATAGTAAATTATAAATCGATCTGTATACACATTATTCTTTAATCTGCATTGGGTTCAAAAATAAAAAAAACGATGTTTTTGTCTATCATTCAATATAAAGAAAAGGTTATTAACACAATCGGAATTATATATTCGATAAGATGACATTCGAAGAACGTGAGCGAAGAATAAAACATTACGACAAATTTTCACATAATTAAAAGGATATCATTAATATTGTGCTTAAGATATACATGTGTTTATATTAGATTGTGTACAGCATATTCATAGTTAAATAGAAACAGTAAATAATTAGTAATTTTTAAAAAACTGCACAGAGAAAAAAATGATTACCTATGTTCTTGAGCAATGCACATGACACAATACACCATATCATGCGTGCTGCAGTACATCTCAATATCACGGTCCGGGTGGTCACGGCATTTAGTCCTGGAAGTCAATGTCTTCCTGTCTGTGGAGACTTTAGCAGTTTGTAGTTCATGATCACTCGTAGCTTTTCGTCGACTATGTTGTCTTCCACAGCGTGTACATAGGTATTCTTGGCACTCAGAACAATAATAAAACGCCTCAATTCTCATATTTTCATCTCTGCAAGGTGTACATGTAGGATCCAAGTCCTGACCTTTCTGAATTATTTGAAGTTCCCCTCTTTCAGCCATTCTGCGTAACAAAACAAACAGCTATAGGAATTTAATTCTACTTAATCTACTTTTGGCATGTTTGTTATTGCTGTTAAATATTATTATTCACACTTTATATTTTCTATATTTGCAAAAATTAGCTACATTTGTATATTACAGGAGATAGTTTAAACTTAAATATGTAAAAACATCAGACATTGGTCAATATCAACTGACAACATACACCAAATTTAAGTTGACGGCTTAATATCTAAAAAAAATGCGATTACTGTTTAACATGTCAAAAGTTTATCTGTTTTAACACTTAATGACCGAAAATGATTTTATTGTAATAAAAATGTCAAAGACTTGCAGACTGACTTGACTGTTAAATAAACATACATGTATTTGAATAGCTAATATGTTATTCGTATTAAATTGTTACCATATTTAAAAACTCATTTATCTTTATATAATCAGAGTAAGATTTTCTCCTTGCCCCAGTTGGTTTAATTCATATTGAATACATAAAAAGATATAAAGATTAAAGTTTAAATTGTATAACAAGATATGAAGATTAATGTATAATTTGTATATTATACAGTTATTATAAGATACTTGCGATGCTCTACATTCCGATATATTCTTATAGCGCTAAATTACAAATATTATTATATACAAAGATCACCGAGTATGTGTTACTGTTTGCTTAAATATCAGCAATGCACAGCATTATTCACAACCGGAAAACTTGTAAGTTATCTTGATTATAAATGAGTGCAAGAGTGAAGTGGTTTAGTAAAGTTGCAATACAATGAACACATTTATTTTTACAATTTGCTACAAACATTGTATAATGTTTCATGCAATTAAAATTGAAAATTGGAATTGAAGTTAATGCATTTAATTCCTTAATTGCTCCGCAGTAGGGGATGAATGACTTTAAATTTCAGTTATACACCGTTGCATAAAATAAATCACGCTACCAAGCCATACAAAACAAAAATTCATTGCTTAATATTTGTAATTTTTGCCATTTTACATCACTATTTTAAATTCTTGAAATACCTTGTTTTTCAATACGTGTAATAATATAACATTCTTTGATAAAGACAAACAAGAGATAACGCTCGAACTTTCGTGATTCCCTCATGACAATCCCTATATCAACGGTAGTATACAACAGTCAGCGGCGGCTGAAGGTGGCTACCAGTCGCTTAAAGCACTTCTATGGAGCTATTTGGTTTTAACAGATTTTGGAGCATATGATATCATAATTATTATAATAATGAAATTATACGAAGCGTAAATAATGAAAATCAATTGTAAATAAATGTGAAAAAAAAGTTTCATTTTCGAGCAAGGCATTCGGAGAAAGTCTTTTAAAATTAGATCTACTGGTAGATCTACTGATATTTAAAATGTTCATTATCATCAAGCTTCAGCGAAGTAATTTGATCACGTAAAGTAAACATGTTTATCGAAGTTGATATATCTAACCGCTGATAAATATTTCATTTACAAAACGAATCAATATCAAATAACTCTGACGAAACTGAATAACTACAGAAAGATCCTTTTAGTACAAAGTATGAAAAAAAGTTAAAGTTTTAAACATGTTGTAAAACTATGTACAATGTAGCTAGCTAGCATGTATACACAGCAAAACCTACCATGATGCTTGCCTATATATTTTCTATTATTAGACTTCTGTCTTTAGAAGAAAAAAAAACAACAACAACTCGTGAACTACTTGCAGTTTAGACAATAACTAGTTAAATGTCCTTACTATCGTCGTTTTATTTAATCCTCCAAGTTTTCATTAAAACTACAGTGTAACTTTAAACATAACTCCAACACGTGTTTACATCACGTAGACATAAACGTCACGGCAACTCTTTTATACATTAAAAAACTGACCTGATTTTCTATTTTCAGGAAACCCCGCACATCTCTGCATATTTGGCGCCTAAACGGATGTGGAAAAACAAATAATCATTCAATAGTGAGATAACAGCAGATCTGATAATCATAATGCTTTAACATGAAACACACACTGTACATGTAAATAACTTTTTAATCCACTACAAATCTCAATTAACCTACCTTCTTAATCTTTCTTGTTTCGGTTTCAACAAAGTTGATTATCTCCCATTATTTGGGGTATAACGGGACTATGTGATTAATAAACAACGTAACTAAATTGTCCCCTTTCTTTATTTGGTGCCGTTTTCTGCCTTGCTATTCGGCTAGAGCCAAACAAACAAACAAACGTTAATTTGAAAGTGCAACTGATATTCAAATATCAGGGAAGTTTTCTGCTAGTTTCGCTTGAACCAGGGTCTTTCTATTTGAAAGACCCCGCTTAAACCTATTTCTTTAAATATTAACGAATTTTATATTTCTCTTAACTAGCCTTTTAAAATAATTGCATGAAATATACCGGAATAAATATAATGATATCTTAAACACTTTGGGGAGGGCTGTTGCTACTGTTGTTAAAACTTGTAGCCCGAGCTATTTGCACTATATCATTGAAAAAAAAAACACAAAACATTTTACACCTTTATGTCCCAAAAGAGGCCCCTTACAAATAAAAGGGGAAATAGCTCATGTGTCTACCCGTCCCGACTGGCAGCTTAACAGCTGGCGGCACGCGTCCCGTGCGCCTCTATCTCTTGACGGAAATCCTGGATCCTCGGAACATTGCACCGATTACCAGTAATCATCTACGAAACAATACAGATTGACCTTTTATGTCAACAGTAAATGCATGGGGTGTAATTTTAGAAATAGGTAATTATAGTGTATTTACTGGACATTTATTAAGTATTCATAGTAAATAGGCCTACAGTGTAAACATCATTTTTTGCTATAAAGATGAAATAACATCGGTAATGCTATAGAGATAAAATAACATCAAGGAATAAATGTATCATGCAAAATATAAAGCCATCGGAACTTTTGAGTAAAAATATGTGCAACAAAATATTCCGAATGCATAAAATGCTCCAGAAAATTTAAAGAAACTAACGTTACCGCTGTTGGAAAAGATATCTCATATTTTATGCGACATTTTCCGTCTGACCTGGGGAGAATTTCAACTGCTTTGCTAATATTGCAATGATTTTTATGTATCATTTTTGTTATGTAATAGTTAAAGTATTACGAGAATATAACACTGGCTGGGGCGACATCGATGGTGTTATCGCCCCAGCCAGTGTTATACCCTCGTAACTAACGAGTTTTACAATTTATAACTGTTTTATCGCAATTTCATATTTTTTATATTAGAAATCAGCAAACAAAAAAACTGCACATTTCTCTCTTGTGCCTTTTCACTTTTGTTTCAAATGGAAACATCAATACCAGCAAATGCTGTTATAAGCTACACTGCTGATGACCACGTGACCGAAATCGTACAATTGACTCATAAAATGGCGGGCTAGAATTCGGTAAAAACGGTAAAATTTTGGTAAGCAAACAGTTAACGTTAAATTTGTATATAAAACGAGGCTGCACGGAACCCCTGTATAAAAACCTCATACTTATAAGGTCAAGGGCTAAATTGTCCCTTGAAGGTGAAAAACCTACTACATATTTTTGCAATTAGAAAAATATAATTACATTTCAAAAACAATTTATAGAGTACAAAATGAAAATGGAACTTTAATTGATAATCAGGAAGACATTTTAAAAGAAACAGAATGATATTATGAAGCTCTGTTCAAAAAAAGAGAATCTAATGAAATAATTAATTTTAATGATTTTACATATAATATTAATTATAATAAACTCACAGATACAGAAAGCCAAAACTTAGAAGGTGAAATAACTTATCATGAGGCATCATTTGTTTTAAAAAACATGTCAAACAACAAAAGCCCCGGCTCATCTGGTTTTGGAGCCGATTTTTATAAAGTATTCTGGAAAAAAATGGGACATTTTATTGTAAGAGCTCTTAATGAAGCATATAATGTCAACCAGTTATCCATTACTCAAACACAAGGAATAATTACATGTTTACCCTAGGAGAATAAATCTAAACTTTTTCTTAAGAATTCGAGGCCAATAACTTTGTTAAACACTATATATAAGATTGGATCTGGATGCATTGCAAACAGAATTAAAATATCTTTAAATAAACTTATTAGCAAAGATCAAACGGGTTTTATAAAAGGAAGATATATCGGAGAAAATGTTAGACTGATATATGATATTATGAATTATACAGAAGAAAATGATATTCCTGGATTACTTCTTTTGATTGACTTTGAAAAAGCATTCGATTCGCTATCTTCGGATTTTGTACAGAATACCTTATCTTTTTTCAATTTTGGTGCATCAGTTAAAAATGGTTTAATATCTTTTATGAAAATGCAACATCAGCTGTTTGTCAATGTGGATTCTTATCCAAATTTATCAATGTACAGCGAGGCTGTCGTCAAGGCGACCCTCTTCCATGTTATATATTTATATTATTTGCAGAAGTTCTTTCCCTTAAGTTGAAATCCGTAGAAAATATTAAAGGAATACGTATTAAACAGACTGAACATTTACTGTCACAGTTTGCTGATGATACCACTGTAATGTTAGATGGAACAGCACAATCTTTAAATGCCACTCTTGATGTTTTAACAGTTTTTGCTCAGATCTCGGGGCTCAGGGTGATCTTTGAGAAGACAAAGGTTGTTTGGATAGGCATTAAAAAGTACAGCAGTGATAGCATAAAAACTAGATGGAAACTCAATTGGAACGAAACTAGTTTCAAAATGCTTGGTATAACATTCCATGTGGATCTTGAAAAAATGGTAGATCTTAACTTTAAAGAAAAAATATCAAATATAGAAAAAAATGATTAAACAATGGAATAGAAGAGCTTTGACTCCAATCGGTAAAATAACAGTAATAAAAACAATACTTATCTCACAACTAAACCATTTATTTATAATGTTGCCGAATCCTTCGGATAAATATATACAACAAATTAATGATACATTATATGCTTTTATTTGGAATGGAACTTCAAAAATTAATAAAAATGTATTAGTTAAAGATTACATGGAAGGGGGTTTAAGAATGGTAAATATAAATGCTTTTATGAATGCGTTAAAACTTACATGGATACATGGATAAGAAGAATTATTTCAAGTGATGGTTGTTGGATAAGTATTTTAACACAGGGTATTGATGTACAAAAATTAGTCACGTGTGGAAAGCATTATGTCGAGAAAATGTCAAAATCTATTAAAAATGAATTCTGGAAACACACTTTAAATGCATTTTCATTGTTTATTGAGCATCAGAAATTTGATAAAGAAGACATTTGTAACTTACCTTTATTTTACAATCAGAACTTATTTTTTGGAAATCTTGGTATGATAAGGGAATTCGTTGTATTTATGATATCTTACAAGACAATGGCCAGTTTTATACACCAGAAGAATTAGGCAAGATCTACAATATAAATATCAATCATCTTTTATATTTAGGAATTAAAAAAGCAGTTACAAAATTTTTTCAAAATGTCTGCTTCAACCCTTTAACTTTTAAGAGAGAAAAATTGCCAACAATTCCAATACACATTAAAGGGATAATTAAAGACCAAAAAGGTTCAAAATATATGTATGATTCGCTTAATGTCCATTTCAGCAAGCCCGTTTGTCAGGTCAAATGGTCACAAAAACTATGCCTCCCAAATAATGATGAATACTGTATGAATATATATAATTTACCATTCAAATTGACAAAAGATACTTATTTACAATGGTTCCAAGTAAGACTTATCCATGGGATTTTGGGTACAAATAATCTTTTGTTCAAAATGAAATATATTAACAGTCCCTTATGTAGCCTTTGTAATCTTCATGATGAAACTATAGAACATATCTTTTGGGAATGCATTCACAGCAATAAATTAATACACGAAATTTGTATAGATAAACTAAACATGCCAAACTTGAATAAAGAAACTATGCTTTTTGGTTACACTAAAGGAAACAATACAATAGATATTGTAAACAATTTAGTTCTTTTATATGTCAAAATGTATATTTTTAAATGTAAAACTAATAAAACAATGCTATCTTTTGCTGGTGCTATAAAGTATATTTCATATGTTTTAAAGGTAAATGAAGAAAAAGCTATCCAATGTGGAAATATTGACCAATTTAAAAAAGACTTGCATACTATTTTAAATATATGTCATTAATCATCATAATATAATAGAGACCTATCCAAATTATTTTGTTCCAATCTGATAATAAATAATGTGAAAAATCATCGAAATACTTGTTCGTATGTTGATGTTAGGAGCGACCTTTGTCTTTTCAGTTTTCATATCTAGCTTTGTTTGAGCATACATGGAAGAATAAATTCATGTTTGTAGTATTTTTGAACGTGCCCTGGCCGAAAGTATTTGTCTTTGATGTTTTTGTTTGTGTTATATTGTTGTTTTCTTTTGTAAATAATCGTCCTTTTTCGTATGTCTATTTATTCTATCGTCAAGCCTCCTAGCTAACCCCATTAGTATCATTAGTTTGTGTATTACTCATAAATATAGAAAAAAGTAATTATGTTTCTGTTTAAGGCATAATGTAGATTTAGTAATATTTTTCTATATCTTGAACTTACAACCTCCTTTACATATTCAATTTTTCAAAAAAAAATAGTTTTGCCGTAAATTACTTTATGTAAATACTATGTTAACTTTTCATGTTTTAACACATTATTGTAAGACTGTTAAGGGATGGACCTCCGACCCTTAAATAGTCATGCGACGTAGGCAATAAATAGGGTCACCTTCGGGGCCTGAAAAAAAAAAAAAAAAAAAAAAAAAAAAAAACTCATACTGTTACTTATGGTATTGGCTCTCTCTGTTTAACCTTGAAAGTCGAAAAAAGTTGTTTTTGGTGTTGCATACAATGGGAATACAGGTACTTTCAGTGAATGAAATGCATTTTGAGAAGCAAAATTGGCAATAACATCTTGCACACAATTGTAAATTTGTGTATCATGAACAATTTCCATCATTGGTAAAGTTGCAGAACATCTTTTTTTAAAAAAAACGAGTACAATGATGGAACTAAATTTAATGAGTACATTGGTGGAACGATTTTATTGCCTGCCCAATGTCGTCAAGATTTTTCCCATTAAATTATACTTTTTTCTCCCTTCCTGTTCTTGACGTCATACAAATATAATATAGTATTAGAAAGTGAAAGTAAGAACAAGTAGCAAATTGAATGAATTCGGGTTTCTTGATCTTAATAGTATTCTGCTTTGATAACAGACGTGTATACCAACTTGAAATTATTTACAATAAAAAATGTGCATTATAGAGAATTTATTTCACCAGCAAAGCATCAGTTTTAACTACATACATTGAATGTCATACCATTTTGTAAATTAATTTGGAAATAAAGTCAGTTATAATTTTTTTTGTTCTTTTTTTTATTATTATTATTTTCAGACGCAGAAAAAATGTTCCTTTAAATGGTCAGCATTGTCTAGTGGACCTCTACAAAAATGAATAAATCATGACCCTGGAGAAAAAAGAATGATGTTGCACATTGTGCACTACTAAATTGTTACATTGAAAAGATACACGTTCTCCTTGGAATTCACAAGGCCAAGACCTTTGATATTTGACAAATGTATTGCGAAGTGAAACTCTTTCAGTGCTTCAAGTGCCTATTGTAAGTCTCGGTGACCTTGAATGTGAACTATTCATTTTTTATGGCATATAGGTGAGCGATTAATGTCCATGATAACTCTCTTGTTTGTTTTCACCTTAACGGCCGTTCTAGATAAATTTGAAGGTCACTCAAAAAAAAAAAAAAAAAGATGTTTCGACATATTTATATTTTATTGAAGCTCAAAATAATTAACTACATGTATACAAAAACAATGTAAACAAATATGATATATAGAGATTTATTTTTATTCGTCACTTGAAATTAAGAAGAAATTTAAATACACCTATATGTCATTTTTCAAATTCGTAGAATTCAAATGCCTCCATGGCACAGTGCATATCTCTGATGATCTGAGTTTGATTCTCGATCACGGCTTTTTATGATTTTTTTTTATTTCAAGAAAGGTCACTGTTTGTTTGGACTGTAAAACGAACGTATAACGATTCCTTATCAAGAAAATAATGAAAACCACTTCATTTAGCACACACACACACACACGCATGCACGCACGCACGCATACATACATTTACTTTATTTAACATAAAATTGTATACATATAATTTATATCCATATGATTCAGACAGCATTTAATCATTACTACGTAATACGTAGGCGTGACACATTTTACTTTAAATAGTTGATACGTTAATTGTAATTATTGTTATTGTTGTTCTTGATTTCATTCATTACTTGATTATTACTCATGATAATTCTTGTCAAATACGAGTTGTACAAGTATTTTTCTTGGAATTTAAAAAATGGTAACTAAGTCTATAGCATGTAAGTAACAAGAATGTATAAATTATATTATTTTTTTCGTAAATATTAACGAATCTACAGTAATGTTCCAACATTCGAACATATTAACAATCTATTTTAACATGATGATTATTAAAATTTTCTTACATTTATCACAAAAAATCTATCCGGATATGCACATGTGTTATTTGATACATGTTCATTTAAAGCCTAAAACGTTTAACAAAAATGAATGTTCGTTTTGTTTCACCTTCAAATATTTCGCAAAATATATCCATTACAGAGTTCTATTTTTTTTAATTTCATTGAAACAATTCACATTATTTTAACAAGAGCTTATATATCATATAATATTTAATTGACAAGTGTATTCTATCTTGTTAATAGAACAATAAAATATTGACGCTTCAAAGAATTTTATGATATTATTTTTCATGTGTATTTTATTTTCTATACAGCGATTAGTACTAATACATGTCATCAAAAGAATAAAACCATGAAGCATGTAAATAGCATTTTAGATAATTCACATTGTTTTTCTTATAAGAGTTATTTTTTAAGATATTTGATATCAGAATTATATTTAAGTTTTCTTTTATTATCACTTGGAGTTGAAATTATTGCGACTTTTTAGCAATCAAATTCAATTACAAATAAAATGCTTCTGTCGCCACATCCAACAATTAACCTATTTCTTCTCCCATCGAAGAACATACTGACTGGTAATTTCAAACCAGAATCTTTCCCAATCAGTTCTCCGAGACATTTACCATCCCTGTTGAACATAACGATGTTTTGTGATTGATATCCACATAGAAATACTGTTCCATCGTCATCTTTACATACACCTCGAGTATTCTTCAATCTACTGTCTCTCAGCTCTCTGATGACCACACCATCCTTGTTAAGACAAACAGCTCCATCAGAGCTATCTGTCACGATCACTGTGTCAGAAGTGACAGACATATGCTGAACATTGGATTTAAATATAGACTTCCCGTTTTGATCCTTGACGATAGATTTTAAAAGATAAGATGAAGTACTGTATACGTTAACACAATTTGAGGCTGATGACCATAGATCACCACAGCACATTGTTAATCCAAACTGTCCACCGTTTTTTATATCTATTGTCTTTCCTTTGGACAGAGGTGAGCCAACAGAAAATAGTTGAATTCTATTGTTGTTTAATTTCACAGCCACTTCACTGTTACTAACACTACATATACCTGTAGTTCTTGCATGAAAATCATAGACGTTTTCGACACTATCATTACTGTCGAGTCTTTTCACTTTGTTATTGTAATGATCAGTCAAAAGGATCGTATCATCAGGAAGTATGCAGATATCAGATATGCAACATACCCATTTGTCATTACTCAGCTTCACATTGATCTCTTTCGTTGACTTTATTGTGTACTGCCTCTGTTTCAATTCCTGCTCATCCACAATTCCAGTTGTCACCTCACCTATAGAATTTGCTTTGGTGATGATGTCCGTCAGCTCTTTATTTACAGTAAAATCGATAAATTTTGTACCTTCTGCCTCACCTTCTGTTATAAAAGTGTTTGCATCTTGGACTGTTTTCTTCACCAATTTCATCCGGACAAATTGCTGCTCTAAGTCCAGACTGTCAATAGTATGTAGTTGTTCCTTGGTTTGTTTTAAGTCTTCAGCTGTGCGACCTGATACACTGATAGCAGATACGAGTTCCTCCTTCAATGTAGAATATTTATCATTTAAACATTTTGCTGTCTCTCTTTTCAATGTTCTAATATGTTCCATAAGTTTTGTCACTGTATCATCTAGTTTCCCTTCAATAGCTTCCTTCTCTTTCTCTATTGCAGTAACATTTTGTTTCTGTTTAACTGTAAGTGACTTCACCTTGTCTTGTACAGTTTGTGTCCCATCTAATAGCGATTGAATCTCCGCCTGAGTGACACATTGTTTTGACACATCTTCAATTGTGTTTACTCCGTCACAAGACCTACAATTTGTAATTAAAGTACAATTTAATATGAAATTTTGATTAAAAAAAGAGCAAAAACAGAATCTCTAAAGACCGCCCAAAACGGCAAAACTGAAAAGGGTCGGTGTGATTGGGCCTGTTCATGTAATGGTATTGCAAGCTACCGTCCAAGCCCCTAGCGCACTTTATAATGAATAAATATTTATGTTAATATATTGACAGTACACAGTGCCTTTGCTAAAACCTTTCAGAGAATAACTTTTCCATTTTGATTTTCTTACAAGGAACAGTATGCGTCTAATCTATCAACATTCTTTAAATATAATTTTCATATTCATTTGTGCGTTCACAATTCAAATTTTACCGGAAGTATTTTTGATTCCTAAATGTTCTTAAAATATGCTGTATATGATTAAACTGGAGGCTACGGAACTTAATCAACCATTTGATTAACATAACGTCATAAAAGAAAGCAACTAGTATGTTTTAAAATTATAAATACTACAATCATTACCTATGTTCTGTTGCAATACACAGGAGACAGTACACCATATCATGTGTAAGGCAGTACATTTCAATTTCTCGGTCTGGATGGAAAAGACATTTAATCCTGGAAACAACAACACCTTGTTTAGCATCCCTTTTATCCAGCAGTTTATGTTGCTGTGAAGCCTTGAGTCGACTATGGTATCTTATACATGTTTTACACAGATATTCTTGACACTCAGGGCAATACTTGTCAGCCTCCTCTCTAATATTGTCTTTGCTGCAAGGTGTACACGTGAATTCATAATCTGCATCAGAACCGTCTTTTAACGATCTGTCTGCCATTCTGGAATAAACTTTTTTTATCTATTCTAAATCTTTATCTTTCTTAAAAGCTGAAGTGTACAATATTAAGTTGTTTATCGAATGAAATTAAATACAGAAATTCTTTACAATATAACAATTGCATCTTGATAAAAAGATATTCTATATACATGTTTGATAGAGGCTATTCTAAATCACACACATCTTTACTGTGTACATACATTTTATTCCCTCCTATCCTGTTATGAACAATATCTACGATCTTTCTTCGAGACCAGTGATTTTGAAAGAAAATATTTTACAAGACCCCAAAAATAGAAGCATGCACTTGATAATTCCTTGTACAGGTATTTTAATATAAGAATTATTGTAAAATACAGAACTTTGCTTATTCCTTGCACAATAATTATTGTAAAATACACTCGATAAATCCATAAACAGGCTTTTTTATGAAATTTTGTTATGTATTATACAAAGATCATTAACAACCTTATTAAACTTATGTTACAATTTATCTCAGTTCTTCTAATTTAAGTGTGACTCTTAGTAAGACTAATCTTATGACAGATAATTTTAATGCATTTTGCCATTTTGTACAGTATTTTAATGATATCGAATAACAATTTATTATAAATAAGAAGACTTACGATAAATGCTTACCTTTGTCTTCTTTCGTTTAGTTATAAAATACATCCTTATTTCTGTTATGATCGTGATACGGTGTAAAGGGTAATGAGACACTGAATTATTTCATTACTTGTCTAATATTTCCCTTTTTAAATAACACAAATAAGCAACAAACATACTATTGTATACTAGTATACATTGTTTTCTTTTAAAGGCCTCAAGGATAACATTAAATAATATATACAGTTATACACATAACATTCAGCATAACAATTACATAGAATTAATTCTGATACATGTTTCATTGACTGGCTGTATTTCAACTTGTTGAATAAAACTTCTAAACATACTGAGAAGAGACTTTATTCTATTTCTCTATTTCAAAATAAAAACTTTAAGTTATTTTTAACGTTAATCACGTTAAAATTCAAATCTACATAAACGAATATTTGATATATCTCACTCCAATATTTGGATGCATAATTTTTTAAAGTTAATTATTTACTGTAGTACACTTGAAATAATTTTTCAGTTAATATGTACATTCGATAGGAACTTGAAATTCTATCAATATTAACAATAATATCAAAAGAATATCCCCTAGCTATTCTATGTATACTATATAGGGGATTTTTCTTGGATATATTAACGTTAATATTGATAGAAAATCAAGTTACTGTGGTAAAATCATTGTAATTGACCTACTGTAGAGGCTACTGGTGTATGCAGTATATACAACCAATAAACCACGGTTGCATTAAATAAACAGATCAGAATTTTTCTATATATAACACGTATTTACAGTATCACACTGAAGTGTCGTCTGCTTTGCTATAATCTTTATTCGGTGTGGAGCAGAAAATATAAAACATGAAACAAATCAACAAAAATACATACAGTACATACCTTTTAGTTTCGATTTCACTAAACATCGTAAAACGCCTTCAACAATCAGGGTTATTAGAGAAGTCAAACGCCACTAAATTGTTTCCTTCCTTATTTTTATGTAAAACCGACTTTAAAACCGACTTTGATAAATGATGGGCATTTTCAAAGAGATTCAGTTTAGGAAATAAAATATCCTACACTATTAACTAGATTTCTTACCATAGGTATGATAAGGAGAATTTGAAATGTTTCTATATAATCAAACGAAAAGTCGGCACGCCGCAGCCGGGACTCAAAATTGTATTTTTTACAATTAAAACAGAACTTAAAATATTGAAACAATAAATAATATTGCTTTCCTTGTTCATAAAATTATAAAAAGTTTATATAAAAAGAGAAAATAGATAACAAAGTGTGTTGTAGACACAGCTAAAATATATGAAAAACTGCTTTGAATATAATTTGTATTTTGTGCTGGATGCCTTAATTCAAACAATTGTTGTTGTTTGTTGACTCTGAATGTAATTATTAGTTGTCAAGATGTTTAATTGATTTTCTTAAAATAAACATCTCTTCCAATAAAACTTCATGTTACAAAGGAAGTTACTGAATCAAAATTTATTATGTTACATGTTTGCCCTGTAAAATGATTTACACCTATTTTTGTTATCTCAAATCTCCTGACTGCGATAAGGATACATCAAATAACATAAGTATCTAGATAAATGTCAGGTTCCTTCTTTATATTCCCCTGTTATAAATAATCATTGTATATATAAAGGTTCTTTTAATTATATGAAATATAGCGATTACATATGTCACTTTAATTCTGCGTTGTTATTAAATGTTGCAAAAAATTTACTAAATTATGAAACAAATCCATTATTCCCTGCGGTCTCCATTCCCTGCGGTCTGAAGACCGCAGGGTATTGGTACGCGTTTAACTTTTGAGGCATGGAGGAGCACGTGACCTGTTTTCGGTACATGGAGGAGCATGTGATCTGTAAACCGTACATGATTGGTTAATTGATCTTTTCGAAAACCTAGCTAAATACCGTTTGCCGGTAGGTTACGGAATTAGTCCGAATTACACCTTATTAACAACAAAAAAAATATTACGTGATATTTCTAATTTTCTATAATTATTTTACCGTTTAAGGTGGAAAAACTTGAATGATGTGTTTGAAAATTATCAATGTTTCTTTAATATTTATCTAAAATTTTTCAAACAATTTTTTTTTTATACTGAAAATCTACAAAATTAAAATATTCGTAGTGGCAACTGCCATACTAAATAGAGATGTTTTCTGCGTAAACTTGTGTGTTTACTTTATTTTTTTGTCCGGAATTACTCAGAAAATGGTATTTAATCATTTTCTTAAAAAAAGAAATAATTGTTTTATGTTCGACCTTCTCCGGTCTCAGGTCTTTAACGGTCACCAGTTTCCAAAGACCTTCTTCTATCTTGATCGATTATTGTTAACTATATTCCTGATACAAACGTTTATTTATCCCCCAAACAATGTTGAAAATAGTTAAATGAAATATCTTTATATCATTAAAAATGTTCCCCGCAGGAAACCATTTTACTTGTATATAATACTTACATGTTCTTGTTTTGTGTGTAAACTCTTATTAGTCGTTGTTAAATCATCACAGTGTTAATGGTAACCACACACATTTATTTAATTAAAAACCTGTTTGTGAAATTAGCAATATTTGCTCCAATTTATTATCCAATCAGAGAGGCAAATTTTTCAACATGATTGACAGCAATATACATCTTTTAGCGCTAGAAATGTATCAAGACTTCTAACAACATTGCAGATGTGCGCACATAAACTGTAAGCAAGTTACTAAATTATATCTGTCAAAAAGCGTTATGGTTCTTACGAACGGCATTTTCTAAAATGTGACCTGTCTATTTATTTAATTTCAAGGTCAGTTCTCTAATACTTTTTTTTAATTATGCCCTAGACAAAAATTTAGTATGAAAGTTTACAGAGGACACTTTACTAAGTATATGTTAGTGTTCATCCGTGCTGTTCTACAGAAATTAGAAAGTTCGACGGGAGCGATAGCGACAAGTTTATAATTTCTGTAGAACAGCTACGAATCAATACTATCATATTTCTCACTGGCCATAGCTTTCGCAGAAGCGGTGGGTCCATCGCAGCGGCAGTGGAGTATTCATCGCAGACGCGTTGGATAAAATATGGCCGTTTGCTGTTGTCGATAAATTAAATTGATGAATTTTGTTTTATCTTTTGCTGGAAACACTTAGTGAGACTGGGGCCCACGTATGTACTCTTTAAACTTGTTACACGCACACGGTGCAATTCATTGCCGTTTATGCAAACACTTTTGTGCAGTTTGACGAGGGGACGCCACTTTTGCCTAATTTTGGTTAAAACACATACAAATGTGTGCAAAACGACCCAATAATACAACCGCATCACATCGTATGAATAATACTTTCACAAAAGAACCATATTTTTGGAAATTATTATTGGCTGTTTATTAAATAAATGATGATCATGTTTCATGCTAAATATCTTAGCTCCAGCTCTTAGGGTTTTTTTTTCAAAATTTAAGTTTTCCTATATACATAAATGAAAAAACAATGACCCCCCTGGGGCTACATTTAAACTCAAACATAGATAGTGGACTCAATTTTGATGATTTCACAATAAAATTATTTCTGTATGCTGACGACATGGTTGTAATGGCAGATAATATCGATGACCTGTAACGAAGCTTGGATAATTTAAAGTCGTATTGCGATAAATGGGGATTAATTGTCAACACGGAACAAACAAAAGTGATGGTTTTTAGAAAGCGAGGTGGTTTGCAATTAAACGAACAATGGACATATGGTGATACTCAACTTGAAATAGTAAAGAACTTCAATTACCTTGGCGTAGAATTTGACTCTAACGGACTTTTTCATTACAATGTCCAGTTACTTGTTGTGAAAGCGTTAAAGGCAATGAACAGACTCAAGAATTTCATTTAACACCTAAGACTATGTAACATCTTTTTGACGCTCTTGTTGGGTCGTCAATACTTAATCATTCGGCTGAGATACGGGGATGTACAATAGAGAAAATAAGAATCCCTAAAGAGAACTCAACTTGGCAAAATTAAAAATGTAAGTAGTTCGAAACAGTTCATTTAAAAATTTGTAAACGTATACTTAAGCTAGTAATGCTGGTGTTTACGTGGAACTGGGGCGCCTTTCATTGTTTATTAGAAGGTTTGTGAAAATGATACAATTCTGGTTTAAAATCATACATTCAAATAACTGTGTCGTATCGAAAATTTATTAATTGCTATTGTTGCGGCGGGAAGTCAAACTAGGTTTCTGTTGTAAGGAATATTTTGTTTTGTTTGTTTGTTTGTTTTGCGTTTTACAACACATCAACACAGTATAGGTCATATCGCGACGTTCAAGCTTTACTGGTGGAGGAATACCTCAGGTGCCCTTCCCTGCATTATTTCAGGCACGAACGGGCACCTAAGTAGAACC